AATGAACAAATTAGAGAGAATCTTTGATGAGAAATCATATAAGGCCAACAGTTTATCACAAACTATTGCATTGGTGTTTCATATGTACGTACTGAACATTTGGCAGATTGATGACTGCCAAATTTCCATAGAAGCACAGCTTGATGAAATTTGGTCTGAACTCCAAAGCAATGATATTTTATTTCTGAAGGAAAGAATTGCATTTTCCAAAACAAAAAAAATTAAACCAGAAAATACTGTATGGCATACTTTAACGCATTGATGATGTACCATTTATTTATTTATTTATTTATCTATTTTATTTTGCGAAGGAGGTGGAAATACTGGCATGAGCAGAAGTGGGTCCCCGAGTAGCAGTGCGTGTTCAAAGCGAGACAGTCACGATGCCCCGGACTACGACACACCACCGCCTCCAGTGCTCACCACTGCTGTCAACAAGACTCGTTGGACACACCGATCCTCTGGCAGTGATTCCGGAATGAACTCAGCAGAATCCATGACTTCTGGAGAGTCAGAATCACAGTGAGCATCATCCATTTTATTTATTTTTTTTTTTTTACATTTTTGACTGAATTTTCTGACCATGACCAGCTTCCAAGAAGAGTTGTAGCTCAACTGGGGATATTTGATTCCGGCTCAATTATAAGAGGATCTCCATTTTTATTTATGATTGTCAATATTATCATTATTTTTTTTACTTGGGAGTTGATTTGAATCGCTTAGTTTTTCTTTTCAATTTTTATTCTCTTGTTTTCCGTGGATTAAAAGAGCTACAATGAAGAGGAAGTCCAAAAATACAGTCGAACCGCTTATAGTTGATGAACTATATACAAAAAGGAACCTACAAACAATTCGACTTGCAAAACTTTTCAATTTGAAGAAATCTGTACAGTACTTTTGCTAGGGGGAAAATAGGAATCACGGGATATTGAAATTGGTGGTCTTTGAGCCTTGAACTATTTTTTAAATGAGATGACAGAATGTTGAACTTGGAGGCTAGGGTTCATTCTCCAAAGTAATCATTCCCTTCCTTCTGAAAAACAGGGTTACATTTTATTGTTCTGTTTTTTTTTTTTTTTTTTTTTTTTCCAGGGGTTCCCAGAATAATGGTTTATAAAGACCTCCGGAAATTTGAATTGTGGAGATTTGAAACAGAAACGCTTTGAGTTAGGAAGTGGTACAGTTTAATTTAGAGTTAATTAAATTCTTCTCGAAGGAATATAAACAGGGAAATGAGCACAACTTTTTCAAAAGAGAGGTTTGATTTCTCGAGGTCGGACTGTACTTGAAAAAATTCCGATGTATAGTATTTTCAATATTTTTTTCAACGTCCAGGAAGCTTTTTTTTATTCTTTTCGACCCAAGGACTTTGATGCAGCGATAATATCAAAAACTGTCATCCATCGCAATTGCAAATGAATTTATTTCGTGGTCGACGAGTCAAGTCAAAGTTGAAAAGAGTTCCCGACATTCTCATGCGGCTGAGGAATTTTTGTGTTGTTTTGCGGAAAAGGTACAGAAAATTTTCGAACCAGGGAAATAGTAGCCGTTGCATTTACCAGAGTATTTTTGGACTTCCTGTTGTTGGGATTTCGGTGACCTTGGGTCATGCGAAAATATCCTGGTGTTGCCCTGCAATGAAAACTGTGTCTTACACTCCCACATTCTTCAAGCTTCACGAACCGTAGTTTTCAGAAATGTCTCAGATTTTACTTGTTTCACAGACCTTACAAAAATTAAACAGGCCCGAGAAAAAAAGGGACGAGATTTGGTCCATGTTCACGTAACAGCTCAGATAATTGCGTAGTCTCTACAGGAAATTGGGTGCTAAATTGAAAATGATGGTGTTTTTTATGCAATTAAATTTTTATTGATTTTTGAATGCTCTCAATTTAATCTAGACGCGTCATGTTTCATTGTAATATTGTTTAAATTTGTCAATTCCTCCGCTATCAACGACGAATGATTTTTTTCTCGGGTGTATGAACAGTGTTTTTTCATTTCTCAATTCTCAAAACTATTTACAGTAGAATCTCGTTACAAAGAATCTTATCGTTTTAAAGGGGTAATCGATTACAACAAAGTCGATATTCGGGACCGTGCCCACAATTTTGAATGAGTTCCTTCATAACATTTTTTTTATTCGTTACAATGAAGCTATTTTAGTGGTCCGAATGACTCCTTTGCAACGAGATTTTACTGTATTTATTTATTTTGCATGAACAATAAATTTTACATTTTTGTTGTCGCTTTTCCTCACGATCAGCAGCGCAAAGGACAGCATAGCAAGAGGTGATTCCAGCATTTTATCAGCATTCGATGTGGAACATTTCCAGTCACTTCATGTGCCTTCTGGTGGGAAGATGAAATTGCTGGACGCGGAAGCCTACGTTTCCATCAAGAAGACGTTGTTCGATCGTCCAGCAAAGGTCTTTGCGTCCCGAATCACGGCCATTGATATAGATTTGCTCAAGATTGTAAACGACTCTGACTTGGGCCTCGGGATCACTTCCGGCATCGAATTAATCACCATTCCCGAAGGAAAGCAGATGCGCAATGATGTGATAGAAAGGTGAGGTCTCGATCCGACGCGTCGAATGATTTTTTTTTTTCATTTCTTGGTTACATTTTGGGAAATTCAGCGCCTATTTTGATGTTTGGGGGGTTTTTTTTTTCAGGGTTAATTGCTTGAGCTGTTTCGTCGCTGCGACGATCGTGCAAGGTGACGATGACAAGGAGCGATCAGAGTTGATACACACGTGGATTCAAATTGCTGATGAATTGCGAACTGCGCAAGGAAACCTCTTGGGGTTTGCTGCTGTGATGCTTGGCATTGATTCTTCTCCAGTGAGTCGGAACGTTTTTTTTTTTTTTTTTTTTTTTTATTTTTTTTATTTTTTTTTTTTTATAATCAATAAGAATTATACATGAAAAGGATTTTTTTCATTCATCACTTTTTTTTAAATATAAAATAACTGTAGAAAACAATATCTTTGCATAGACGATTTTGACCGAATCCAATT